GTTCTCATTACTCTGACATGCAGCTTTCTTAACTTCCGCAATAATGTCATCTTTTTGCTTGCATATCTCAGTAGTTGATGCATCTACTCTTGATATTTGATCTTTGTTGGTCTTGCACAGACGTTCTACCCTCTTTATTAGTTCTAATTTCTCTTGGTTAGTTTTTTTGATGTTATCCATCAAACCTTTTATTTCTTTATTATGTTCGTTTAGCATCTTTTCAATGTCGCTTTTTTGCTCTATTATATTAATTTTGTTAGTCTCAGCTATGCTCATCATTTGTTTGAGAGCATCATCCACATTTGAAATGTAAGGCACTCCGCACATTAAGCTCCTAATCATAGTAGTGTAATCGTTTCGGCATACTAAAGTATAATGCTTTTATGGCGAACACATGTATTTCTTTGAAGCTCTGTACATTACGATTCAAAATCATGTTTTGGCCTAATCATAAAAGCTTCATGAATCGAAGCGCCCAACATTGTAAGGCGCTTGCAGTTTTGAAATCATCATTTGTTTACTTTTTTGTGTTGGAAATAAAATTTGTCATTTCAAAAAAAAATAATAATTGAAAATGAATGATTTCGTGCTGAAATTCGTGCAAATTGTATTAAACCACAATCGTTTATGCAATATTTCGGAGCAGAAATATTTGCGGAAGTGCGTAGTTGCGAAAGAACGGCCAGAAAATTTGTTATGTGTAGAAAGTGTTTATTAGCTGGTGACTTATGCACGGCGTGCAGTGTACAGAAGTCGAGTCGGCATGCATTCGTTTCGCGTAATGTTCCGAGTGCCTAAGTCATCACACATGAAGCGCAAAAACTTACAATTTGCCAACCCTTGCAAACAGTAATCGTCTATTTGTGCACACGCAATTGTTTTGTGGTACACTCTCCCACTCACACCAGCACAGCTCACACCGGTTTCTCCTCTGATGCCTTATAGGCATCTTCCGCACTCCGTCATTCTCCCACTCACCGCTACTTTTTACTTGTTTATAACAGCGAACGTTGGTAGAATTTTGTGTACGTATGTTTGTTTGGTTGCGTATATTTATTTTAATAATATTAAGTGTTTATTTGTATACATCACTTTCGCAAAAATATTTAAAAATTTTAAACATTTGTACCAATAAGTACGTAGCTCAAACTCTCACTAATATGTGTCTTTTAGCACTTTTCGACGAGGGATCAAAAAACACGTCCGTCGGCTTTGACGTTTATCTCGTTAATACGATATGGTTAAAACTAACCGGCATTTAATTTACCTCTGTGAATTCTGTGTTGTCATGCCGGAGAAACTTTGCAAAGTTCTCGCGCGGTTATGGTGACCCAAAAGCGTAGTATTTATTTATTTATTTATTTANCTCTGTGTTGTCATGCCGGAGAAAATTTGCAAAGTTCTCGCGCGGTTATGGTGACCCAAAAGCGTAGTATTTATTTATTTATTTATTTATTTATTTATTTATTTATTTATTTATTTNAAACACGTCCGTCGGCTTTGACGTTTATCTCGTTAATACGATATGGTTAAAACTAACCGGCATTTAATTTACCTCTGTGAATTCTGTGTTGTCATGCCGGAGAAACTTTGCAAAGTTCTCGCGCGGTTATGGTGACCCAAAAGCGTAGTATTTATTTATTTATTTATTTATTTATTTATTACAGTCATTTGACCTATATACATTCACGTATATACATTTGAATTATGTATTGCAAAATTAATATATAATAAAAGTAAAATTAAAATTAATGCTTAAAATAAGTTAACCTGTTACACTTTTCCTTCTAAGCTATATAATAGTTTATGTATATTTAACTAAGTATATTCTCGATGCTGTTGGAATGGACGTGATTCCAAGCAGTACCGTAAATATATCACGTAGGACATGCGGTCTAAGAGTATAATTTCCAGAGCCGCCACAACTGGGCAGTTGGAAAGGACTAGTTTCTAAACCTCCTCTTATAGACTTCTCTACCGGCAGGCGATCTGAATGGACGAGATCCAGAGTCGCGCTATTTGATCGGACGGAAAGGACTAGTTTCCATGCCAACCTTCTTATTTCATACATTATGGGTGATCTGAATGGATTAGATCTAGAGTCATCCAGCTAGTCCTTTCCATGCCGGACCTTTCTATCTAGTAGCCAATGTTCTACAGTGATCAAGTAGCAGCCTTTTGAAGGTACTATTCTTATCTATTTCCGTTTTATACAGCGGCAGCCTTAAGCTTTTATTTTCCCTGAGTAAATACGAATGGGTTTCACTATTATATCGTAGGATATCACTCAGATAATCTGGAAGTCTACGTTGTTTTATGTTAAACACGAATTTCATAGCATGATAGAAAATTTGCTTTTTCACGCTCAGCCAGTTTAATTCTGCGATCATTTCCTGTATGGGTGTGTCGTATCGCTTGTTCAAGATAAATCGCAAAGCCCTATTTTGCATTTTTCGAAGCTTATTTGTGTGTCGCTTGGTATAAAAAAGATTGTTGGACAGTGTATGAAATGTGGTTCAACCATAGATCTGTAGACCAGAGTCTTATACCTCCTTCCTAAGTACTTACATGATCTTTTCATGAGACCAATTTTTTTAGCAATTTTTGGTACTGTGTAGTCAATATGTTCCTCAAATTTTAACTTGTCATCTATATATATACCTAGATATTTAATGATTGTCACTTTCTCAATTACTTCATCTTTAATTTTTAAACTGTAGTTATCGGAGCTAACGTTAGCTGCTCTAGATATGACATAAACTTTGTCTTCTTCACATTTGATTGCAGTCTGTTTACGCACAGCCATTTATACAAACAATGAAGGTCTTCTTGCATTTTAATCATTGCATTGGGTAGATTACTGTCACTGAGGGTTAAGAGGGTATCGTCAGCGAACAATTTTACCTTACAATACTTCAATACTGAGTTTATGTCGTTGATATAAATATTAAAGAGTACTGGATCTAACACCGACCCTTGTGGTAGACCAATATCTAGCAGTAGACCTTTGTGGATAGAGCTGTGCCAATCACCGTTTGTTGCTTCCTATCAGAAAGAAAACTACGGAACCATGTAAGTTCGATGTTATCTATACCAATATATTCGAGTTTTTTTAGCATTATCTCCCTGTCGATCGTCTCGAAGGCTCTCTTAAGGTCGACAAACGCCGCCAAGATAGTCTTCTTGGCATTCAGGTCCTCCTTCCATTGTGATAAAGATCAAGTTTAGCGCTGTTTCGCATGAGTGATTAGCCCTAAAACCTGACTGCTCCTTAATGAGTATTTTATTTGACTCAATATAGTTTAATAGTTGATTTTTTACAACAGTTTCCAGTATTTTTTCTAAGTTGGGAAGGGTGTTTATTGGCCTGAGCTCCTCCGATTTTATGGTGTTTTTGACCTTTTTTATAGGGACAGTGGGCGAAGTTTTCCATTCTGTCGGAACTATTCCCAACTGAAGGCTCTTATTCACTAATAGGGCGTAAAAGTGACCCATGTATTCAACGGAGTCTTTGATTACACCCTCGGATAATAAATTATTTCCACCAATTTTTATCTTGAACTTCTTTACTATATGGATAATATCATCTGTACTAATTTCACAAAATTTAAAGGCCCCTTGACCATTTTCCTGTTGAATCGGATCATAACTAATGTTTTCTATATTCCTATTAATATCGGTGATACTATCACCAAAGAAATGGTTTAACTTGTCAGCGATTTCAGTACTATTGCTATATATTTTACCGTTGATTCGAACCTCTTTGTGATCCGCATTATTGACAACATTCTTCAAATGTTTCCACATTAAACGACTGTCACCTCTATTAATTTCCACCTTGTATTCCATATATTGGATTTTTTTAATTCTTATCATTTTTTTATATGTTTTCTTTATTTCATTGTATTCTACCCAATCACCAGTGATCACTGCCCTTTGGTATAACTTAAACTTTTCTTTATTAGTTTCAGTCAATTGTCTGTCATACCATTTATTTCGGATTTTGACCCGCTTTTGTACACGAGAAGTTAGTTTTTTCATACTCGAAATCAAACAGCTATTAATATGTTCGAGCATACCATCAGGACTGAGACTATTCAGGTCAGCGAAGGTGCATTGTCGCTAAAAATTTATAAGGTACCCATCCCACGAAGTTATTTCAGACAGTTTACTGATAGGGGCTTGTTTTTTTATATCACATTTGAACATTATAGTTTCATGATCCGATATTATATGTTCCTCCGCTTTTTCACATGACACTTCCTTAGCGTTCGAGTACAATAAGTCGATCAGTGCTTCGGAATATTCAGTAACCCTAGTATTAAAGTTAATTAACTGTTTCATTGCCTGATGGGCGAATATCTCATTCAGTTTCTTACTATATGTCGATATTATATTCAGGTTTATATTAAAATCTCCTATAATAATGGTATTTACCATGTTATCGCATATTTCCGACAAAATGGTCTCCATATACGCTAGAAAATCAGCATCACTTGAACTAGGTGAGTGATAGACCACCCCGATTTTCCATTTGGTTTCGAGATTTTTCAGTTGGATAACTACACACCAAACAGTTTTACCGATAGATTTGTTTAGTATTATTTTAAAATCTAGTGCGTTACGCAATATTATGATTACCCCTCCTGTATGTCTACTGTACGAGTCACATCTTACAACTTGATATGTTGGAAACTGTATTTCATAGTCATATATTTCCTCTGTTGTACAAGTTTCGGAACATATAACTATATCCGGATCAACAATTTCAATTAGCCTTTCAAGTTCTATTTTATTAGCTATTATACTACTTATGTTAAGATAAACGCATTTCAAGTTACTGCTATGCTTTTCATGTACTGGCTGAACCGTCAACTCCATGCCACGGTTCCTATTAACTGCCTGTAATTGTTAATAGCTGGCTCTATTTCTCTTATGCTCTAGTTTCTTCATGTATACAGGACACTGTCGGTTAGTTGTCAAGTGGTTCACGTCGAGCCCTAGATTAAATTTTTTGTTTGCACGAATGCAATTGATACACTGTTTATTTGCTCCTTTGTGCACTCCATTGTTTTATGATTACCCAAGCACTTCAGGCAGACCTCTTCATCCTTGCACTTCGTAGCTATATGATTGAAGCCCTTACATTTGTAGCAAACTGACACAACCATACCATCTTGGACTCTACATTTCTCCCACCCAATATTTATTTTTTCGCTTTTGAGCACTGCCGAGAAGGTATCAACGTCCGTTTCAATGAGAAAATTATAGTATTTAGACCTATATTTCTTGACTTGAATGTATTTAATAATTTTAAAGTCAGCACTTTGTAAACATTCATTTTGTTTTTTTATCATTTCTACCAGTTGCTCGCTTTCATATTTAAAGCTTACTCCAAACGCCATAAACTTGGGTTTAGCCGTATTCGGCACTCTAATTTCATAGCGGTCACTCATTTTATTTGCAATTGCGGTCTTTATTTTATCGCGCTCAGATTCGTTTTCGCTTTGAATAACGATTGTACCACTTTTCCTACCCTGCACATTGCTTATTTTTAGATCCGATGGATCAACGTTCTTATTCAGGTCCTCTTTTGTTTTCATCGCGTCTTGCTTCTCTTTCGGTTTTATGATCAGAGGTTTCTCTTTATTTATTTTCGGCTCTTTGTGATTCACTATTCCGCTTTTTAAACGCTCAGCATATGAGGCCTTGCTATGATGACTTGATTTTAGCTCTTTACTTACTGACTTTTTATTTCTTCACATATTTTACTACTTTCACTCTCATTTCGTACCATAGCCTCGCATAGACCTTGGCTATGCTTTTTCACATCTTTAGCTACAGCTTTCATCTTATTGGCCTCAGCTATGCTCGTTTCGCATGTTTTTTGAACTCTTTGCATAGCATCTATACGCTCACCGAATTTCCTCTCTATAGCTTCTAAAAGGAGCTTTAGCTCTTTAACCTGCCTTTTTTTTGCGACCCTTGAAAGTCGTCTTTACACTCTTTTATGTTTTTACTATTATTCTCTATAGAGATATAGAGATATTCATATTTCGCAACACCTCATCAATATTATGCATATATGTGAGACAACCATCACACATAAAGCGCGCATAGGCATTGTCCGCAAGGACTTTTTTGCTGAACTCATCGAGATCAGAGCACTTCTTTGCCCTGTGAAATACTTTGCCGCATATACATTCACAGCGGATTCCACTCTCATCGCGTATTAGGCCTTTGCACTTATGGCAGTCCCCATTTTCTTGGCTGACACTTCACTGCACTTCTGAGTGTTTTTTATTTATTTGCCGCTGCTGCGCGCTTTTTCGCCTATCACTATTCTCTTCACTTTCACCGTTTTCTTCCTAGTCAAAGTATACTTTAATTTAATTTGATTTGCTTAAACTAGTGTCACTATCACTTTGCTATTTAGCAAAATTCACTTTCCGATTAAATATATGAATCGCTATTTGCATTTGAAATCGCGTTAAGCTAATAAAAACCGCTGAATTTAAAAAACTTCGCGGAGCTAACTATAACACGACCTTTCACACCCACAACACCCACCTCTTTTGCTTGTTTATATAAAGCAGTGGATAAAAATATACGTATGTGCGAAAGGCAAATTTATCTGTTTAAAGGTACAACACTAATATTTCCTGCAAACACACATCGATTTACATCTTTTATCTTGCCTCCGACACAGAAATGTTTTCGTACAAAATTACGCAAAAAAGCTTAACTCGTTCGTTTTTAGGCATGCCATTGTTACGAATTTCGAAAGTTCGAAAATACGATTCGGATTGCAGCATACTATTTTTTACGATTCGCAGCAAATTCCGAATACGAAAGAGGTGCGGAATAGGGGTGAATGTTTGTTAAAATCTTGGCATAAACACCGTAAAGCATCATGTATTTCCAAGTTTAATTTACAAATGCTCAACACAACCGTGGCGCAGTCGGGAAAGTGTGCGAGTCAACCACGTTTACCTCATAAACTGAACAGAAATACAGTTCACCAGCTGAACGAATAAGGTGCAATGTAAGGGTTTACTTGTTATTTATTCAAAATCTCAAGTACGGTTTTCTTAATGGTAAAAAGTGAGTCGAAGGTGTCAAAATAATGCTTATTAAAGTCCTGGCATAGGCAACGAAAAGCATCATGAATTTCAAAATTTGTTCTACAAATAGTTAGCTTAATGGGCTTGTAATGTCTAGAAGGTCTAGAAGGAATAAAAAACGTGACCAGGTTCAGTAGAATGGGATTATTGACCAACCCGTTCAAGATCTTAATCATGAACAAGACCCCGAGCATCCTTCTACGGCTGTGAAGCGTTGGCAAATTTATGAGTTTGAAGCGGCTTTTGTACGGTGCACATAGGGACGAATCGACAATTTAGGACGACAAAAATAGAAAAACCAAAGTCTTTAAATCTTATCACACATACCTTTGTCATACTCTTACAAACCAGTCCACAATGTAACACACAAATTTTGACTTTTACCGCAACGCGGTAGCTTTAGCAGAAGCGCAAAGTTGGGTTTTCTATGGTGCGTCGAATTAAATAATTTTTTGTTTGAAGCGATGATAAAATAATTTCGCTGGTCATTTTATTCTTATTAACATCTAACAGTTTTGTCAACACGGAAAGTGAGGCGTGAAGTATGTACTTTTTTACGATTTTTGTTAATAATATAGCTGCTTGTAAAATGGTTATACATAAAACCTATTTTATAAATTGTCTTTTTCCATTGTTCCAACGAGTACAGCAATTTCTCTTCAACAGTTCGAAAATCCAACAAATTGCCAATGTAAAAATATCACGAACCCGTCCCCCCTTTACCCCTTCATTAAATAGAGCATCTTTTTTAACCGACTTCCAAAAAAGGAGGCGGTTATCAGTTCGTCGGAATTTTTTTTTTTTTTTATGAATATTACCGCATAACTTTGGACCACGGCAACCGATTTCGATAATTCTTTTTGCATCGGAAAGGTAGTGTAATTTATTAGTTGATTTTTCACAACCGTTTCTAGTATTTTTTTTTTTTAATTGGGAAGGGTGTTTATTGGAATAACTTTCTTCGATTTCATGGTGTTTTTGACCTTTTTTATTGGGACAATGGTCGAAGTTTTCCATTCTGTCGGAACTATTCCCAGCCTTTAGGGCTGTTATTTACTAATAGGGCGTAAAAGTGACCTATGTATGAACGGAGTCTTTGATTACACCCTCGGATAACAAAATATTTCCACCAATTTTTATCCTGAACTTCTTCACTATATGAATAATATCATCTGTACTAATCTCACAAAATGTAAAGGTCCCTTGACTATTAGCGATTTCAGTGCTATTTCTATATATTTTACCGTTGATTAGAACTTCTTTAAAGTTTTCGCTGTGATCTGTATTATTGTTTATTTATTTATTTATTTAATCAAATGGAATAAAATCCTTACTGACTATAAAACAAGAGAGCTTATGCACTACCTAAAATAATTAAGTAGGACAAAACGAACTGTTCCAAATGAGAGAGACGGATCATATTCAGAGAGCTCATTTATCTCAGGAAGGGTTCTGAACAAAGGTGAGAATTTTACATAGTTAGTTTTTGGAAAACCCAGGTAGAATAAAGAAACACGACGCAGATTATGAGACGGAACGTTTAATGCTAACTTATCCAAAAGATTAGGACAATCGACTGTGCCCTCCAATATTTTGGCCACAAAAGAGGCTGCCAAGAATGCAGGTTATTAAGCTCAGCTTGCAGCAAAAGAGTCTTGTGAGGTTCTGATCACTGAGTAAACCTTTAGATCGTCAGCATATAATAAATACTTAGAAGACTGGAAGCATGATCCAATATCATTTATGAATAAGACAAATAAAAGAGGGCCCAAGATACTGCTTTGGGGAACACCCGACGTAGCTACAAAAGGAGTGGAAAGTATGTTGGAATAGAAGATAGGAATTAATCCATTCCAGAAAAGTTGAGTGAAAACCCAATCGCGATAACTTATTAATTAAGACTTTATGCGAAACTCTGTCGAACGCCTTCGAAAAGTCGGTGTACACAGCGTCCACTTGTAGACCTGACTGCATCGCAGCAACACAGTCCTCCATGAATGTAGCAAGGTTGGAGTCAGTCGAACTCCCACTAACAAACCCGTGCTGGAAAGGCCAAATTAAACTTTTCACTGCGAAATTGAGCTTCTGTTTGACAACTGATTCCAAAACTTTTGGGACAGTGCCCAGTTTGGAAATAGGCCTATAATTCGAAACGTCGTTCTTGTTCCCACTTTTGTAAATTTGTGTAATGAAAGCATTTTTCCAGTCGTCAATAAAGTAACCAGACGAAAGAGATTTATTGAACAATATTGTTAATAGCTGAACAAGCGATGGGCAACGTTTGAGCATAGCACCTTAGAAGCCATCAGAATCCAATTTAAAACAGTGCTTTATGGAACAGATGGCTACTTCTACGTCACTTTCAGAAATATGCAATGCGCCTAAGTTAAGGGCAGAATCTGAAAGAGGGTAACGTTCAGAAGCCACATTAGAATCCGAGACATAATTGGAGGAGAAAAATTCTGCGAAGAGACTGGCTACCTCAGCAGGTGTGTTAGCCTCCTTGTCATTCAAAAAGACCGAGGACGGCACGCTCGAGTTAGCGTTCTTAGATTTTACAAACCTCCAAAATTCTTTAGGGGTGTTCTTAATGTCTGCTTCACTTTTGCTAATAAACTTATTATAGAGAATATTGTCCAAGGAATTAAAGTTCCTAAGGCAGTACTGATAACTGACGAACACAGATTGGGACCTAGTTGACCTAAATCTTTTAAAAAGCCTATTTTTACTTTTATTTGTTGTACCATGGTAACTTGTACAACTTCCTTGCAATTAATGGCACTATTTCTACACACCCCTCTTCCAATCATAATCATGAAGACGGCTATTTAAGAGTTCAAAGTTGCACGAACTAAAGTTAAAGTTGGTCGGCATCTCACAAGAGGAACAGTAGCGAAAACATAAAATTGAATATGAACTTCCATAGGTATATAATGAGTATTTGCGCGAGTTATTGGGGATGGGCATTCAAATACCCAATACGTACGTACGTATACGTTACGTATAACTCACTGTCTGAAGTCGCATTAACCGTGGTAAAAGACGAGGAGTTATTAAAGCTATTCCAGGATACATTACACAAATTAAAATCACCAAGTACACAGAGGTGGTGTTCGCCAATCCTTGAACTGAGATTCAAAACATTGTCAACGTGAGCTCTATATATGTCGAAGCAACTGCTCGGTGGAATGTAAGAGACACATGCAAAGAGAAGTTCAGATGAACTCCGAACATTCACGCACAACTGCTCGAGGATAGAATCATTATTTTGAAGATGAACCATCGACGAGCACAATCTACGCTGCACTGCTATAAGCACTCCCCCGCCTCTGGACAGGCCCGACCTGATTTCGTCGCGATCCTTTCGATAAACATTATATAGATCGGGATCGAAGAATTCTGAGTCAAAGAAATTAGGTTGTAACCAGCTTTCGACGATGATGAATATGTCAAAATCCAAATGTGAGCTCAATCTGCGGACTACATCAGCTTTAGTTTTCATTCCAGAAACATTTTGAAAATAAATTTTGATTTTACTATGTGCAACCACACTAGTAGTGCTATCGACTGGCTTTGTATTGTCAGCTGATTCTGATAATAAACAACTACGTGAGGGCGCATGAGCTACTTCAGTTGCATTTGTTGCGGCAATTTTTGAAAAAAACCGGAACGGTCGAACAGCAACATTAGCTGGCCACACCTCAGGCCTCATCAGATTATCGAAGTT